AAGTATCCTCGATTAAGCTATGTTTACTTTGGAGGGAGTATTCTAACCGCGATCTAATTTTCTTCTACCGTGGCATCGAACGGAATTTCTCGAACGACATCGTAATAGTTAACAATTATTGCAATCGTCGATCTGAAAAAAACATTTATGATGCGAACTGACGTTCGTCTAGCGTAAACGCGGCTTTAGTCGTGCAAATACGGCCGGCTCACCGGATGAAAAAAGCGCGCCGCACATTTTTTTCCTTTTCTGTCGGCGCGGTCAGCTCACCTTGATAATGCGAGATATCACGCGAATACACCAACAAACGAGTGTATGTATGGAGTGAAAAAAAGGAAAAACGAAGCTGACGGCGCGGCGAGGGGGGAGGGGAAGAGGCCAGTGGGTATCTGTAACTGAACACTGCGGTTCGCGCGAGTATGCGAGTCTGCGAGGAAAATTAAATATTATACGCGGTTTCTGCCGTGAATTTTTAGTTCCTCCCGACTACAATTAAATTCGTTCCTACCCCGAAAGAGTAAACTTGCGGAATACTAAAGATGCCGCGCGCGTTTCGGGGCCCTGATTTGCTGCATTCAATTTGGAGGTTCGGAAAGGGAAATCTCAAAAAACAAATAGGCAATTCGAGATTGTTGAATACAATTTTTTTTTTTCAGATTCATTGAACGTTAAAAAAGGGTAAAAACGAGTGAATTTTGATTGGGCATTATAAACCGTAAAACACGAAAGCCGAATAAGCATTTTTGTTACATGAAAAGGGATCTACCCGCGCAATTATTAACAATAATACAATAAAGCTACGCGATAAAATATCGCGAAGGCAGTGAAATTCGACAACGTGTACCGAACAAAAAGTATTTTTTATATTATAAAATTAATGTCTCGCACTTGACGCGCACGGCGAGCTTTTAGTTTAATAACCAATACGCCAAACTCGAATCGTTGCAAAATTCGTTTTAAAAGTACGCAATAAAGATCTGCGAAAAATTTATTAAAAATTGTTTGCATGTACAACAACTTCGCTAGATTTCAATTAATATTTCCAGGAATTTATATTAAAAATTACACACCGATCAATTGCACTTATAAACTGGTTAAAAATTATTATGTAAAGCTAAACAGTACTTACTGTGTCCGAGAGTAATAAATAGTTTGCGTACATTTAAATTAATTCTGGCGTACTCTTTAAGATTCTTGCTATATTTCGTTCAAAATAAACACGTTCAGATCCAGTAAACGCAAGAGTATATAATGAAACCGTCTTAATTTAACAATTTTACATCAGTCACGACTATAGAATAATTCTAGAGCAGCTATAGAGCAAAAGTACAGTTGCTATAAAAACGTACTATAAAACAGGAAAATGGTTACCGTGGAGCATCTGTATAGAAGCTGTAGACTAATATACAAGAATTTTGAAGCTCTAGAATCTATAAACTACTGTACAACATATAGAAAGAATGTTTAATAGAGCAGGATCGTACAACCGTACAGAGCGATTCTTTACGAATTACAGACAAACTATAAAACAAGTATAGAGCCGTCGTAAAACAAAACTATAGCGCGGATCGTCGGTCAGTTCCGAGTTAAGTTTAAACAGCGAACGATACATGGCTATTAACACGTCTACGAAAGAATAAACGACAAATCAATATTAACAGGGCCATAAAGCAACTGTAACCCGACAATAAAAGAACAATAAAGCGGCCGCAAAACAACTTTAAATCGACTCTAAACCGTTTATAGTAGCCCCTTGCGCGCTGCGAAACGTCCAAGGAACGTCCACCCACGTCGGCTCGTCGTTCTATCGTGCCTCTGAATAAAATCTCGCGCCTTGGATCCCCGGCGAACGAGAGATCACCCTTCTCGCGATCAACCGGTGCCCCGTTCGATGCGGTCGCTCGAGATCCTGGCAACTCCATGTCCCGGCTAAATTCGAAAAGGTCGATATTTCAAATGCCAGCATCAGGGGTTAACCGGGGGCTATTTTGAGTGTACCGTACGGCATGTAGGACCCGAACACACCACCCGTCAATAATCCGCTGAATAAACTATCGTCCGTCCGCCCACATGGCCACCCACCCGTCCACCACAACTCCACTCAACCGCCACGTACAGTCAGACATATATCACGTAGGTGGCGCTGGTGTGCGCGGCGGTGTCCCTTCGTACGTGTGCGCGCGGAACGTGCTAATATATGTACCGCAGGCGCGGCTGGACTAGCGTAAGTGGTGGTGGATCGCGTGCATGGTTCCTGGCCGTGTGTGTGGGAAGAGGGAACGCCAGGGGTGGAGGCCGGGGAGCCGTAAACTCGACCAGAGACCAGTCACGAGGGAGATACAACGATGGCTACGACCCGAGGAAACGAGCAAAGTTCCGCGAATAAAATAATAATTTTGTTGCGCCCGTTGTCCACGGCACCGCGGTCGAAATTCCGTCGCGGAATTGTACCGCACGACCGAATTGCCCGCGCGCGGATAGCTTTTCCGCGGCGGACGCGGCGTATCGTGACGCCCGTTGCGTTCGAATTCGTCCACGGTAGATGAGTAACGGCTCTCTGCCGTGGAAATATCGCGAACTACATCGCCTGGTGTCCACTCGAGCTTGATCCTGCTCTAAAGTCTGGAGGGGAAACCATCGAGTGCAAGAGCTAGCTCTAAGTGTGGGTTAGGCCCTCTAAAACATTACTGTAATGAATGGTTGCTATCAAATGTCCTATATATAGTTGGTATAGTATCTAGAGCAAATTGTGATTCAAATAGTAATTTTTATAGCACAAAGGATTTGATATTTACGTTACTCAATCTTGTAACTTTGTAACAAAGTAATTTCTAGTACGAAGACCCATCTGCTAGGTCGTGAGAAAGACCTCTCATTCTCGATGCGGACTCGTAAAAGAAAATCTCTCAAGTGGACATCAGGCATAAGAGCTCCTTCACACAAGTGGGAGAGCATTTGTCGGGTATCACATGTTTGTGTGAGACACCTTTACTCTGAATGCTGTGTCCAGTAGAGCAGTGACTCTCAATGGTGCTCCCTTCACCCTCGCTAAATAGAAAACTTTTGATTTTTCTTACAGGCTCTAAATAAACTATCGACTCTGACTATTGCGAAGGTGCTGTACGTGAATCAGAAACATCAACTATTGAAAATGCACTCCTCTGAATAAACTGTACGATCCATTTCAGTAGAAATTTCGCAACTACGATCCCCGCGAGTCCCGTCGACGTGGTCATTTTGCTTCTATAAAATTCACCGCATTTTGTTTGTATCCGAGCGACATTCGAATAGTCGCTAGCAAGAGTCACCTACATACGAACAGCGCGATGTATTATTGACACCGCAACCCCCAATGTAGCTCACCACCGTCGACTCCCCTTTGTGCCCTCCCTTGTTGGAAATTGGACAGGTATGTGCTCTCGCCTATATGTATACGCGATATATATGCACATATATGTATCTGGGTACCGGGTGGCGTTCTACAAACTATGCGCATCGCTGTCGCGAGTGCGCCCAATAAATTTTTTCCGATGTTTTATTCTCCCGCGCAACCGAACCTCCTTCTCACCATGGAATTATAAGCTATACAAGACAACCGACCGCGTATCTGTGTGCCCGTTAAATTTGATCGATTCGACAGCAATAAATTCGTCGTTCGGTTTCACGATGAATTCGAACCCTTCGTGGTCCGCCTGTAAAAAATACAACGCTTTACGCTGTCCTGCAGCTACAGTTCTACAATATATGAAATGATCCGAACAACAAACTACGTTCTACAATAAAGGACGAAACCGATTAAACACTGCCCCTCGCAAATACCACTCTTTTTATCGTGCGATCGACGGGAGAAAATAAAAGAAACGTCATAGAGAAATACAAACGGGAAAGGTGGAAACGATTTGATGATAATTTTATAATTTTTTACGCGCAAAAGTGAATCGAAAACGTGGGGCAAATCGATTTTTGAAGGTGTTGCGCGCACGCGCGAGATTCGCTAAAATTGGGCTTAACGAACTTCGCTGCGAATGTCTATCATATTTCTACGTATTTTGGGCAGTGTGTACGACTAAAAATTGCCACCTCTATAGTATTTTTTAATAACTAACTTCGAAAAAATCCTGGAAGCCGAAATTCCATTGTGTGCGCGTGCCCCGCGTATTTTCAAAATCGATTTTCATGGAAACGATGCCCCGTGCAACAAAATTCTATATGACATTTTTCATTTATGTTTACGTATGAAATCTGTATAGAAAAGGAACTATAGAGAAAGTATAGGTAGGACATAGTGATTATGAAATAAGTTTAAAAAGTCTAAAAAAGAGAGCAGCCACACAGAAACTATAGACAAAGCGAAAGACAAGCTCAATGCAATTATGGAGTAGTTATGCAACTACTTTAGAGCAACTCTATAGGTGTAACTGTGAAATAGAATTCTAGAGCAACTATACAGAAATTATGGAGAAAATAAATAACAATTTTCAAAGAGATATTACATAATGCAAACTTCTAGATGCTTCAGCAAGACTATAAAGCAACTATATTAAAACTATGATATTACTTTAGAGCGACTATAACACGAAGTATCTATAAAACTCTATAAACTGACTTAATAATTGATTAATTAATTACGTTTACTGCAAGTACAATGTTCTTGAACTACAAGTTACATTTTTCAATAATTGCTGCTGATTACACTTGCAATTGTAATTGTTAAACGTTACTACAGGCTATGTGTGTTTCCTTTAGTGAAATGTAATTATTGTCAGCAACAGTTACAGTTACATTCATAATCGCAATTGTTCATTAGATTATGTTCTGCTCAAATTGCTACAGAATTACTATAACGCGTGTCTACAAGAATCGTGAGACGACATAAAAAAAGACTACAAATATAACAGAAACTGACCTGTGCAGCCATTACAGGGCAATATTTGCATAACTCTACATAAACTTTAAACCATTTAGAAAATAATTTCGTTGCGAAGAAAAAGTGTACTCACTATACAGGGTGTCCCACGCGACCGAGCCAGGCTGTATCTTTGAAAAGAGCCAAAAGGCAAAAGAGATTTAGATTGCTCGATATTATAAATTCATTAATCTTTACACACATAATAAAGCATATACACTTAAATATTACTATTTTACAAATTTAATTGTTTGTTCGCGGGTATCCAAATGTGTTCTCACGGAGAACGAAAAAATGCATCAGTTGGTAGACTGGTAAAGGAATGGGGTTCTGTTTAAACAATGACTGCGGTTGCACTTCACAACCACACGCACACGTGAAAGCACACAATGGTGCTGTGGAAATACAGAGCATGTAAAAATCATTTAATTTTGCCTGATGACTTTTTTCTCCAACCCCAACCGTGTTAAGGGGTTGCGCCAAGTTCCCTGGGCTGACAATTAAGGTAGCTTCTAGACATTTTTTTTCACGTCGGGTCTGTGGTTTATTAAACATTCGTGCAGCACTTAAAACGAACATACATTTCACTGTGAATCTAGTAAACTATAGTTCTTCGAAACACTCAAAAGCTACATTAATTTTGGCTATCCTAGCATAACCCCCAGAGAATATAATTTGGATTATAATCTTGCAAATAGAATTTTTATATAATTTACAAACTTCTGGCGTCATTATGACGTATCTGTACCCTCGAATTCAAATCTCCAAACAGGTTCACTGTCCAAAGTGTCACGATCCTATCCAACAACGCGACGCTGTGCTCCATATATGGACCATGGACAGTGAACGCGTTTGATAAATGAAACAAAATATTTCACTCTTAGAAACGAGATGTGTGTTTAACTGGAACAAGCGATCATCCTCGTAGCTCGATGGAAAGAAAAACTAAATTCCAAAATAATTTCGAGACGATACGATTTAATGAAAATGTTGCAAAAGGAAGCGAATCGTCTATCAGCGACGGTTTGCCCCGGACTTCCCCAATAATCTCGCGAAGACTTACAAGGAAAGGGCGTTCCAGTCTACGCCTGGCATGCAGTTATTCGCATTAAAAAACTAACGTTTCCGCGCGCGTAGACTCCTGCTCCTCCCCGCGCTCAGCCGTCGGGACGGTCTCATCGGTGATTTCCTGGATCCTCTCTGTCTATCGAGGAGGAGAGAAGCCACGAAACTTGCGTATCTATGCGCATAAATAATGAAAATCCGCAGACTCGGTATAATTACCCGACCGTCGCATCCGGTCTCAATTCCGACAATCGTCGCGAAGATTTTCGGGGCCACAACCCGCGGCGACGTTCGTATTTTTAGGGGCCCGGGAATTCAATTACGCGACCGGCGGAAAGACGCCCAAGATATACGCCGCTATCTTCGGATCTCAATCTTCCAGCGCCCTTAACTGCAGCCCTTAAACTCTCTCTGTCGGTCGGTCGGAATTATCCTCCGACAGTCAAGAGCCCTTCGGTTGCCCTAGGTCCGGGATTACCCGGCGATAATCGAATCCTCTCGCCGCTAATTGACTACGGGAGTAATCGCGAGTGAAACTTTCATGCCTCGCCCGATTCGTGCCGTTCTCTCTGACTGACAACCGACTCAAGTGAGAGACCAAGGGGGCGGCGCGGAGGAGGTTAGGCGAGCCAGTATTACCAGAGAGATGCCTCTCCGGGTGCACGTAATTGAAGTAAAGCGAGAATCCCCCCCCCCCCCTTCACAGCTCTGTCAAAACGAATTTGCTATAATGAATGTTTTTTGTTCCCTTTTCGGTATTGATTATTGCCTCTGATCCGTCTTACATTCCTTGCTTCCCTGCTCGTCAGCGATTGATCAACGACTGCTGATTGGTGGGTCGATTCTGACCCGTACTGTTACTATGATCGTGTTACTTGCACTCTAAGAGAGTGGAGCTTTCTGGGTTACGAGGACTATAATATAATAAACTGTGATGGAGTCATTCGATAATGCCCGCTTTCAAGTGAAAATTTCAACCCCGGATTCAAGCAATGTAATTCATTAGGTTCTTTGTGTTACTCGGACTCTAAAAGACCGGGGCTCTCTGGGTTACGAGGACCGTGATACAATGCACTGCGATGAAGTTCGTTTCTGTTATTCGATGTTACCCGCTTTCAAGTGAAAATTTCAACCTCAGGTTCAAACAACGTAATTCATTAGGTTGTTTGTATTACTCGGGCTCTAAAAGACTGGGGCTCTCTGGGTTACGAGAACTATAGTATAATAAACTGTGGAGTCATTCGATGATACCCGCTTTCAAGTGAAAATTTAAAACCCGGATTCAAGCAAAATCATAACCACTGTTTACCTTTATATAATACTATAGAACTTATTGATTTTAGAACCGAGATAAAAATCGCGATTTTGTCACTAAAAAGCGGGTATTGCCCCTATATAAGCGGTCAACCTAGAAATTGACAATTTACGGAATGTTTAACTGACGTAACTAATTGTAGCGTTCGAAATTAAAGATGTAGCTATGATAAACGATTGAATATTCTGCAATGCCCACTTTTAAGTGAAAATCTTACCACCGTTCAGGTCTAACACACCAAGGTTAATATCTTTCTTCGCAAACACTGTAATCCAGTGTTAATAAATCAGTCCCGCCTAATCAACGCGATATCTTGTCTTTACCTATAAAATCAAATGACTCAACGAACACAGATAACGCACGATTATCGGTGCCCTAATCGTCCACGATGAAAAGCAAATAGCTAAACCGCGTTTAGGTGAGTTTCTCAAGAACACCGTTTCCAATTACTCACAGCTCGCCAGAACAGAACCAGAACAATTCCCCCGCATAATTGCAGCACTGGTGCTCACGACCATAAAAATGGTGGTCGGGCCCCAAGGGTCCTGTGTTCGACACGGGACAGCCATTGTCGCATAATTTCTACCGACGTATCCTTTAACGCCGTTAGGGTGTTCAGGTAGCCAACTGGCTGTTTCGAGTGGCAATCGTTAGCCCAGTATCAGCTCCAAGGATTACAGTGTCGTCAGCGAGTTGGTATTTTACAGACTCTGGGTGGCTGAATTATATACTGGCCAGGTCAGGTAGGTGCTCTTCGTGGGCGACCTTCGTACCAACGATTCGATTATCGTTCGAATTTCTGCGCAAAAATGCTGCCCATGGCAATGTTGGGATACTAAACGCGAGTGGAAACTGTTTGGCGCGTTAACGGTGTTCAGAATCCCGGGGATTCGAGTTGCGTCGATTATCAACGGTATTCGTTAGAAATTTGAGAAATCTCATTATTGTTTGCGATAGCAACGATCAGCGTTTAATGATCTCCGAACTGCTCGTATTGCTATTTTTCGAAAAAAAGAATATACTCCCAGAAAAATTGTATTATATATATGCACATAAATAAATTTACTCGTATCGTATTTATCATTCCTCTCCGATTATAATTTAAAGTCCATTCCACTCCGGGAACCGATTTAAACAGCTGTACCGTTTACTATAATTGCCGCAAGTGTAGCATATAATCAGCTGTATTTTTTTTCGAATCGTACAGTCGTACCAGTGAATGAAATACAAATAATCGATGCGCATTGAAATTTTTAACGATCGTATTTCGATTCAACGACACCGTGAGTAAGGTCCCCGACGTAACTTTTCTCGTTGGTCTCGTCCTCGAGTAATTACGCGCTAAGACCGCAAAACCGCGCGAAAAAAAAAAAGGAATCGAGCAACCTGGCCGAGCACTTGTTCAATTCCAAAACAACATAATTCATCTGCTCGCGGTCGCCTTAATTATCTGCTCGAGCGCGTGACTAAAATTACGCGTCGGGTCGAGCCTTATTTCACAATGTCACCAGCCGTGTGATTATATCGATCGACTGCATTCCAAGTATCGATACGTTTTCGCAACAACACAGAAAACGGCGTCGCCGGCGACGCGGCGGTCTCTCGATCGCCGCGTAATTTCCTTCCGGCGGCCGGTTTTCGCGTAATTTATCGCCGAATCGCGTGCAGCGGCTAATAGAATCGTCGCGTAAAAAGACGACACTACGTTCCAGGAACTATCTTGGAAACAACGGCCGACGGTTTCGAGCCAGCGACGAAAATTGAATTTTTCCTGTTCCCTTTCGCGAGATCCACGGAAGGCGATACGATTCGAGAAGCGTGGATTCCCTGTTTTTATAACGGATCAAAGTCGTACAATAATATTTGCTCGTGTCGAACGCCTGGAGGGGGGGTGGAGGGGAAACAAAAAAAAATTTTTTTAATCGCGTTTGCCACGCGCGCGTTCGACCGACGTCGATCCTGACGAATTTTATTACCGAACTCCCGGGGATTTTTCCGTAATCGTGCAACGAAGAACGCGTTAATTCCTCGAGCACACTCGGTGGAGTATTTCTGGAAGTTTTTATTCGTCGAAAATCAACTCTAAAATACTGATAGACAGATAATACTTGAAAGTAAATTCTATCGAATAATAATATAGAGATGGAATTTTTCTCTTATAAATATTCCGGATACGTGTGATCGAGGACTCCAAATTTGTTTATAAATATAGAATAAAGTTTGGATTATGAGTGTCGACAGGTTGAGTGACATGGTTGACCGGCGCTCCAGAGACTCGCAATAGATCTTTAATATTTGTACATTTTCTATGATCGTCATCGAACAGTTAAAAGAAATTTAAATACCAAATAGCCTGGTAACTTTTATCAAATAATAATGACACGTTCACTGTCATGGTGGTCACCGGTGACCGGCGCTCCAGAGACTCGCAATAGATCTTTAATATTTGTAGAGTTTCTATGATCGATAATGAACAATGGAAAGAAATTTGAATGGAAAAATTGGGGTCTAGTTTGGACAGAAAATGGAGGACGGTCCCCCAACCCTGAACGTGGTGAGATTTGTAGCCCACCCTGTACATCACCAACACTGTACGAACACCCAAGTCGAGCGTACAAACGTGGCTGTCGGTACGTGTGCACGTGACTGTTGCAAAAAGAACACAGGACGTTGCATGTGGACGTCGATGCGGTGTACCTTGACACGGATGGCTCCCTGAATCAGCCGACAGCTAGCAACAAACAT